ATAGATAGATAGATAGATAGATAGATAGATAGATAGATAGATAGATACCGCAGGTAGATAGTGTTAGTTTGGTTCTATAAGGGATTCGTTCTTTTCCATATCACTGGCACAAGTCCAGCATTTCTGGAAATGAGTATCTGAACATGCCCCCTCGGTCTGCTCAGAAGGACATTTGCTGCTCCAGGAGATGCACAGAACTCGAGAGGGGGTTGTAAGCGGCAGGCACAATGCCCGAAAGTTTCCCATCATCCCCGCTCCTCGTTCGTTACCCATCGCTTGACTGAGTATTGAGTCTTAAAGACTAAAATGCTGCCATCAGCGCCAGCCACCCTTTCCGATCAGCATGTTCCTTCTATTCCCTGGCACACAGTTAGACCCTCTTAATGTCAGAGCATTACAAAAAAAAGTGGGGTATACTTGTTAAATCATCTCCCAAAGCTCCTTCCTGCTGTTTAATTTGTTTTCTTTCGTTCCCTTCCTCTTTTCTCTCTCTCTCTCCCCTTCCTCCCCCCTTTCTCTGCTGAAGGGTACACCATTAAGCCGAGCTGATTTAAGAGCTGTCAACATCAACCTCTGTGACATGTGCGTCATCCTGTCAGCCAATCAGAATAATATTGATGACACTTCACTGCAGGACAAGGAATGCATCTTGGCGTCACTCAACATCAAATCTATGCAGTTTGATGACAGCATCGGGGTCTTGCAGGCTAATTCCCAAGGTAAGGACTGCCCTATAAGACTTCTCCTCCATGGTGCCTTAAGGGGACAGGAAATGGCAGGAAGAATATCTCTCACTCAGTAATTCAGAGGGGGCTTCCCTCCGCTTGCTTGATGGTTAAACCTGCTGATTGGGAAGAGGGGGCTTTGGTGTAGCACACGCGGGGTGGGGGGGAACAAAAAGCTAATCTGGGCGCCAGAAAACCGAGGTCGATTGGGGAGAGAATCTCACTCCTTGCTCCGTCCGTAGAAGTCTCGCTGTGTATAACGATAAAGTTGTTCGGTTATGCTTTGCATTGCCAGAGGTCACGTCATTTCATGCTGGATGCAAAAGAGGATGATTGGAAGTGTGTTTGACCAGCATCTTGGCTTTGTCTGCAAGATTATATCAACGGAATGGCATGTGATGCCAAAGCAACACCTTTGAGGCCAGAGAATAGTGAAAATAATAATAAGGGGAGGATTTTGTGAAGATCTGTTTAACCTCTGCACAAAAATCCTTACAGTGGTGGTCGACCTCCCTCCAATTTCAAAAGCTCAGCGCCTAAGAGCACCTCTTTCTGACTGTGTATTTTTTTGTTGTTGTTGTTGGCTGTTCCTTTCTTTTGATTGTGTTTCCCAAGAGCGCAAAGCAGCTAACAATATATTTAAAGGTCAGATAAACAGACCATCCTGCTCTTAATCTTGCAACATAGAAACAGACAAATCAATAGAAATATATATGCCACAATAAATGCCCGAATACTGCATTTTAAGTAACAAAAGCAATCATCCACTTCTCTTCCATTCAATTATCCTTCATAATTCCGTTCAATTGCTTTCATTCAAAAATCTACCATTAAATATCTGATAGTTGATGAAAATGAAAATAAGTAGTGATAGTGGGGTTTTTTGTTTTTAAAAAAGTTCACCTCCTTATTTAAAACATGTGATATATGACAGCAAAAGCTAAGATTATATGATGGGGGAGAGCTGTCTCGCCATTTAATGGTTCTCTATTAGCATCGAACTATACTCCAGATAACTCTACAGTCTTTCAATAGAGACAGAGCCGTTGATTCTGTTCTGGTCTACCCAAGTTAATCAAACTGACTGCATTTCAAATTTTATAGGATATGGAATTTGTATTCTGTGTTGGATGGTCCCTACAGAAGAGAAGATGATGAGATGGTCTAACAACAGGGATATCCAAACTTGGCAACTTTGCGACTTGTGGACTTCAATTCCCAGAATTTCCAGCTGGCTGAGGAATTCTGGGAGTTGAAGTCCACAAGTCTTAAAGTTGACAAGTTTGGAGACCTCTGGTCTACAGTAAAGCAGCAATTTCTCAGGAAAAAGGGAGCACATTCTAGAAAAGATGAGGGAGAGAGAAGAGGTATCAGTCAACCAGAATAGAGCAGGAAGGGACCTTGGAGGTCTTATAGTCCTGCCCCCTGCTCAAGCAGGAGAACCTATACTATCTCAGACAAGTGCCTGTCCAGTTATTGTCAGTAAACAGCAACCTCACCATGTGGGCCAGACTAAGAAAACAAATTCTACAGGAGGGCTGAAACTACATCGGTTGAGATTGGCTATAAGGGCAGAATCTTGCAAATCTGATTGTAATTATATCTCCGTCCTCTTCTTATACTTCAGTGAAATAGGGAGGTGCTTATCAGCTGCTTCCAAATATTCTTTGATTGATTAATTGATTCATCGATTGATGTGCTGTCCATCTCATCTAGAGCTAACTCTGAGCAGCTTAGCTGTCTGTTTTTGTAGTGAGTAAGAAATATGATTTTGACTGAGAGGTATTTGTTCATAATGGAATGGAACAGAGAATGGAATGGAATGGAATAGAATAGAATGCAGAGTAGAGTAGGATAGCATAGGATAGAAAAGAATAGAATATTAGAATGTAGAATAGAATAGAATAGAATAGAATAGAATAGAATAGAATAGAATAGAATAGAATAGAATAGAATAGAATAATGGAATGCAGAACAGAATAGAATGGAATGGAATGGAACAGAACAGAATAGAATAGAATAATGGAATGCAGAATAGAATAGACTAGAATGGAATGGAATGGAATGGAATGGAATGGAATAGACTAGACTAGACTAGAATAGAATAGAATAGAATAGAATAGAATAGAATAGAATAGAATAGAATAGAATAGAATAGAGCTTAGAGGTCTTCTCCAAACCCTAAACCATTTCATTCATTCATTCATTCATTCATTCATTCATTCATCAATTCATTCATTCACTCCATTTCTGTACAGAAGCGAAGAGGAATAATGCGTATCTTAATGCACAATTACAAAGACAACGTTTCTAAATGTCTCGGGAGTTAGTCAGCTCTTTTCACAATAATTGTGGAGTGCTTGTTGTAAAGATAAAAACCTCTGCAAATTAAGTTGAAAGCAGCATTCTCAATGACACTAGCCCCACCCCAACACCCAAATATGCATTCCTCTTAAGAATCTGAAAGCATTGGCATCAACCACCAGCCCCCATAATAAATCCTAATTAATTTTTGACTTTTATGGGTTGGGTGCAATTCAAGCTATTAGCTGCAGGAGATTCCCCATTTGAATGGGAGAATAAAATTTGGTCACTTGGACACACTTTGATATTGAAAATCACCAGCAAGTATCGCAACGGAATCAAGATACATTGCAGTGGTTCCAACCTTGCCAGCTTGTCCCAACAAATATTGGTTGTCTGAACACCGACAACACGTTCCCAAATGGCTGCTTTGATTTCAAATGAAATCAAGATGCTAAAGTCACCTTGGATCTACCTCTAGCCAGGTTTGGGCTGGCTTAAACCTTCTTCCTTATGCTTTTGAAAAGGATGGTGTCCGAGCCATTGATCAAACTCAGAAAAATACATAGGGGAAGTTATTTATAATTTTGTTGCCAACTTGTTCCAGCTGGCCTGCTGAAAAGTCTACCTCATTTTATTTGACATGCTCTCTAAAACATGGATTTAGCCAGCTTTTGTGCGGTAACTACAGCATCGCCATTAGGAAGCCAATGGTGCAAACATTTAACTGTTGTGTAACCAATAAGTTATGGGTTTATATTCCTCACACAAGGGACAGAATTAATCTGTGGCTAATGTCCCATTTTATCTATTTTTTTCCCATTTGTTTTTGTTTTTAATGTTTGCTTCACCTTACATTTTACTGGGTGTATCTTTCTTATTATTAATTTGCAATGGATAACTTTGCAGTTTGACTTCAGCAGTGAAGAGTGGTTTATTATGCATATTATTTACAATGCATATAGTAAAATATGTATGATGGAATACATTGTTTGCTAATTTATGAGTAATTATAATACATAATATTAATATATTGCCAAACATATTAATAATATGTTCTGTATTATTATATATTGTAATGATTCATTAATAATAAATTACAGAGATTAGTCTTCAGTTGGCAAGATATGAACAAAATTAAAGCAACACATAGCCCTGGTGCTTTAATTTAATTTGTATTAATTTTTTCTAAGAGGGGATTGAGAAGCTGAGGCAAACAGAGGAAATCAGATTTATCTATATAATGACAAAAATCAAATACTGATTTAGTTGTTCTGTGGAAATGAAAATAATATTTTTTTATTCCTTGTAATTGGGTCCATGAATAATTAGGGCAACTAAAGTTCAAGTATGTTCATTATTTCAACGGTGACTTCAATGCTAGAAAAACCATGAATATTTTTTTTTTAAAGTAGCTACATCCATATAGCACAGGGATCTCTAAACTTGGCAACTTTGAGACTTGTGGACTTCAACTCATGGTCATGGGGCCGGCGTGACTCAACGCTGAAGGCACATGGAACGCTGTTACCTTCCCACCAAAGGGGTCCCTATTTTTCTACTTGCATTTTTTACGTGCTTTTGAACTGCTAGTTTGGTAGAAGCTGGGACAAGTAATTGGAGCTCACTCCGTTATGCGGCGCTAGGGATTCGAACCGCCGAACTGCCAAACTTTCTGATCAAGGAGCTCAGCATCTTAGCCACTGAGCCACTGAGGTCATAAAGGGAGGCAAAAGTCACCTAACAGATGTCTCACTTAACAACAGAATATTTGGGGCTCAATTGTGCTCGTGAGTCAGCGACTTCCTGTATTTGGAGAGGGATGATTTTAAGTGGAAAGTTGAGCAGAAAGCTCTCCTGTCCAAACTTCTGTAGAATATCAATATCAATTGGGATGGGAAAGACTGTGTAGAGGCCTCCCCCTCCCATCTGTCCTTAATAAGCAGGATCTACAATGGCCATAACTTCCTGTATCTATAAAGGAAGAGATGCTATTTCTGCTGGTCTGGCAAAGAGCTCACTATACTGCACCTTGCTCGATGCATTTATCTGGAGAGAGCAGCTGTCACTTCCTTTTTGTTTAATAGTCGGTGCATTATTCATCCTGGGAAAAAAAACATTTTAAATCATCTAAATCAGGTGCAAAACCTGACCCAAATGTTTTGAACTTGCCTGGCAGCTGGATTTACCGCAGAGACGGCTTTTGTGTGCGCTCCAACTGGACTCCTGGAAGTACTCTAGTTGAAATAATTCGGGGAAAAAAGACTTAAGGATGGGCTGGAAAGACGCCAATTGCACGGGAACAGACCTAGGATGATGTGACAGGTCAGCAATTCCTGCAGCGGCATCGTTTTAATGGATTAAAAAAGAAAAAGAAAAGTAGACAGGTTGCTTCCACAAAGAGCTTGACCATGGTTCCCAAATGGGTGCCATGCCTTTCTGTTCACACTGAGCAGGTTTGATGATGGCACAGATCATAAGATTTGGAGGTAAACTGGTTTTTCACTTTCAGGAACACAAATCACTCCTCGGCTCATCATTCCATAAGTTCTTTTCCTCCTTGTAGCTACGAAGCTTTCAGAAGACCACAGTGTCTTTCCATTGGAAGAAGGCAACTTTCCCTCTCTGCCATCCCTCCTACCCCATGCGGAAAGAAAAATGGAGATTCAAAGCGGAAGGCAGCTCTGATT